GTATTGGATTCAGTCAGATTCCTTGTGAAATCAACAAAACGAGGTAGTGGAAACACTACCGCTTTTGTCCACAGGGATGGCCCGAATCCTAGTTTCTGCTTTATATAGTTAATAGTTCCCTGTATGTTTTTATTACAGAGTTGTAGCATTCATACTTTGACTACCCCCGTTTCACAATAAATGCATCACTATGACCAAGGCCCACACTTTCTCTGACTGTGTGTTTTCACATCATAGATGATGAACAAAGACATGTGGGGTCTTACAGGTAAAGGATGAGACTTATATAGGATGATATAGAAGAAAATATGGGCTATATATGGGATAGATGTACTGAACTGACAGTAAGTGGACCGGGGAGTCAATATTATATGTCTTATATCTGTTGGTAAGGTATATTAAAGAAAGGACATGAGTAATAAGGTCAAGGATTCATAAAAATGAAAAATATGTACAGATAGGTAAAAGCATGGAGCAAGCAGGCACATGACAAATGAATATACTGAAGTTATGATATATATATTTGAAGTGCAGACTTTGAGTCTTCAACTTTTTGGTTCTGGAAATTCTGATTTGGGGACAGCCCTAAAATAAATCATGAGATTTTGGAACAGAGTTGTGCATTGTGTTCTCATTTTGATGGACTTGTACAGTAACTCACACTGGTCTACACTTCATTCTAAAAGTTAGAAAGTTTTGCATAAGCAAACAACCCAACAACTGTCAGATTGTAGACTTGTATTTCTACATTCTGATCAGTGTACAAAAATACCTCACATCACCTTTTTAAAACACAGACCTGTCTGCTCCAAACTAGCAAGAAGAGAACACACAGATAGAGAAAATACAGAAGATGCAAAAATCTCATGTGAAATAACCAGTACCGTTGGCAGTTAATAGCATGTTCATCTAGGGACACCATCACTTTTACTGAGAATCTGATTGAGAAAAATCATTCTCTGGGTCTTTAAATGAGCAAAATGAAATACATCTTCTGTTTGTGGTCCACTAGCTATGTCTGCTTAGCTATTTATTCATAGGAGATTAAAAGCCATCCAATATATTTTATTTCTTAAACTAATGAGGGCAGTTTTAGCCAAAAGGGTCATCCTCTTTCAGTCTATTTCTATCGAGACCAACAGCACAAATTATAAAGTAATCTTGGAGCTATTGTGTATGGAGAGATGGGGGAGGGTGTCTGTTGCTACTACCAAGCCTTCAATTTCAATAAGTGTCAAGGGGCTACGCACGTAATTCAATAAAAGATCTGTGATGTCACGAGTGTGTAGATACAAGACTGCAGCTCTAACATTTAGGTTAAGTGGTTGGTGATTTGTGCTGCCTATATCCGATGGCCTCACAGATTTATGACAGTGAGGGCTATTATTATTTTTTTTTCTTTGATATCCATCTGTCATTAGTCCCTCATTCTTTTGAACTGACCTTCTGTCAGATTCTTTGGATACCTGCCCAGAGTTATGCTATAAGAGGTTTTTATATCACTTGCCTGACCAAAATGCTGGCTCGCAGAGCCGTGGAAAAAGCTTTTTTCTCTTTTAAAATCAACATTGTCCATACACCTAGCAAGGTTGTACATTATTTCTTCTGGTCAACAACAGGTTGTTACATCATATGCTCAGCACTGCTCTATTAGCTTCTCAGGATGAAAGAGATGATTCAGTTTCACAGCATACACAGACACAGCCATGAACTAAACCTCATCTCTAGCTAGCTCAAGCTATCATACTTTTTGAAAGTTTCTTTGCACCACTCTTTATAAATTGCCATTCGGAAACAGCATCTCTGAATCATCATCCCTTTGATGTTATGTCTTGATTTGAGTGGCTTTTCATGTTTCACTTTCCTCATCCTTCTGACAGTCAAAGACACTGAAAGTGCCTGTGCGCTATAATAAAAGTTCAGAGTGAGAAAATAATGGAAATTCCGCAGCCCCTTGCTGAAGGCAACCACAGATGTGACTGAGGTCAGTGAGGGAAGAAACTTCAAGCAAGGTCAATGCTGTCCAGTACTGCATTCACAAAAATGATGTGAGAGAGGATCAAATGCCACAACATTTTAAAAGGAGAAAGTGAGATGCAGAAAGACAGATGATGAAAAGACTGAAAGGAAACCACTCTGGGGGAAGCATTGTCCTCAAAAGTCACAGTGTTAAGGGTCAGGAACCAGCAGTTGCGCCAATTGCTCCAGAGCCATGAGACGCTCTTGAACTTGCAGCTGTTTTTCAAAGAAGACAGACAGACGCAAAAAGCTGTCTTATGAACTGTCAAATAAGAGCACTTCAGAGAATCGCGCATATGAGGATTGTGTCAGCATCTTTTACAGAGAGCATCTGGTCTACTGGATAAACCCTTTTTTTTTACTTTTATCCTCTCTGGTTAAACTATAAAGCTGTGACTCTTTGACTCGAATGGTTCATGATACTGATTGGCATCATAGAAACTGTTGATATAATTCTAAATAAAACTGGCAATGTTTTTAATAACAATTCGTCAATTAATGACAAGCTTTTTACTGGGTCAAAATGTGTGCAGCTGTGTGTGGTAGAATGGTCCATGTAAACAGAAATGACTGAAGATGGAAATATAGGCATGTTGTGTTTTGTTCTGCTGACCACGCATACTGGCCTCAGCAAACTAATGTGACAGATGTATCATAAGAAAATATTAAATTCGATTTAGTTGTTGCAGCATCAAAAGACCTATCAATAAATTTGGCAGTGACAGCACGTTCTAATACTGTGTGCAAAATTATGCTATTGGGGAACTCAGTTGTTTAGATTTTGAACATATATAAATATACAAGAAGTCACAGTCTTTGGAAACTGTTTAGGTTACGCTTTGAAGCGCAGAAGGTACTGGTGTGAATTCAGAAAATCCTGATCAAATTAATAGAGCTTTATAACCTGTTGCAGTAAATGTCTTGGTGATTATTGTATTAACATCGATAACTCCAAACATTCTAAGTGTATTACATGTTAATTTTCGAATTATTAATTACAGCACTATTATCATTAGGTCTACATTCTGCTATTGTGGTTTAACAAGACTAGTAAATTATCATGCTATGCTCTGAGCTGCTGTACTTAGCTTCAGTGGTGCTTTAAGCTAAATGTTAACGTTGGCATGATAACACACTCACAATGAAAACACTGATAAGCAAGTATAATGTTAACCATCTTAATTTAGCATGTTAGCATGCTAACATTTGCTAATTAGCACAAAAGACAAAGCACAGCTGAGGATGATGGGAATGTCATTAGTTTTACATGTATTTGGTAAAATACCTTTGGTATGAAAGTATCTAACACATTGAAAAGTCAGGGGAACACCCAGTCTTTACAATTCCTCCTGAGGGGGACATGAATGTGTGTACCAGGTGTAAATTCATCCAACAGTTTGTTGCGACATTTTAACAAATGTCAACCTCATGGTGGCACTAGAAGAAAGGGCAAGGTATTCTGTGAAAAATGTCATGGCATCCATCCAATAGTTGTTGATATATTTCAGTATGGAAGTGGTGGATCAACCGGTCTACCGACACTGCCTATATGCTACACTCCCACTGACCGCATCAACTGCAGTAAATAACATAATAATACGTTAGATTTTTGAAGGATTTTGCTATTTTTCTCTAATTGCCAGCATCAGGCACAGTTTGAAGGTATGCCAACCCAACAGCAAACACTGGACTATTGTGAAGTTGTCATTTTTCAAGTGCCTCTTGTTATATTGACAGAGAAGTATTTATCCTGTGGAAATGCAAAGCCCTTTAGTGGATGAGGTTTGTAATTTAGGCCCCATTTTCAGAAGGTGCCAAAACTGAGGCGCCTTCAAAAGCCTGGAAATTGCTGGATGCCAGAAAGAATGCATGACAATAGTCTTATTTTGTCACTGCTGCAAATGGCTGATGTCTGTTTACAAGCAGCACTCTGTCTCTATTCATCAGCTAGCCACCTTTTGAGCACAAGGAAGCCAATTTGTGTGCTTAATCTTATGTTGTTTAGTTATTTAAACTGTCATCCCATTGAATTTATTTACGTCATTTCGATTTAACTGTGATGCTGAGTTGTGATGAAGTTCCACGACAAGTGTCACAGCAGATTGTGAATGTGAGAGTGGTTGACAGTGTTGTCACTGCAGAACACTTTAGTGTTCAAAAGAATAAGATGCCAGAATGCGTCTCATTTAGCCATCAACAATTTAACATCTTCCTGATGGACAATGAGGTAGACGACATTTCCTGCTATCAACTTGGACAGTTTTGGTGTCAAAACAAGTAGCATTATGGATATGACACCACATGACAGGTCTTATGTCATATGTACAGTGCTGTCATTTGAACATCTAAGTGACCATGTCAAATTAGTTCGGAGCCACTTATCATGTCACTGTTTTTCAATTTTACTGCTTCGGGCTCATCAATTTTGTTTAGCATTAAGGGCATTATTTTGGGGTTGCTGACAGGCTCTTGACAGTTTCTAAATGATGTTTCACGTCTTCTACTGGTTCATTCGTTAAAAGCCTGGCTTTTGGCCAGATGTCGCTTCACTTGCCAGAGCAAGCGAGCACAGGAGCAGTCTGGCTTCTCTGCATGCGTGACACACACTACCTCTAACGGCACTGATGAAGTTACTTGACCGCTCCTCACATCAGTGAGATGAAGCTTTTACAGATGTAAGGGCTGTGATTAGTACTCCACAGCACAGCAACAGCCAGAGTAGTATTAGGTCATGGTTTTTTTTTCGAGGCCATGATTCAGGGTAAAACCGTCTTGTCAATAGAAGGATTAGCTCAAGTGTGCTATCCATCTTCACTTATTTTTATTTCCCTCTTTCACTCTGTCACCTAAATAAAGCATGTATGTATATGTACATGTGATGTATAAACTACACCAGGTAAGAAAAGAGAAGGTGGATTAGATGGAACCAAAAGGAAGATACAGCTTTTGGGATTCATACTGTACTGTTGTTTTCCCAACAGCAAAGATCCACTACCAGCCAGCCCTGCCCAGCCAGAGAGAATTCCTTACCCAGAACATGCCTGTGGGCCACATGATGAAGTTCATAATTACCTACAAGACGGTGAGTAACAGAATCTAAATTGACATTTACAAATGCAAAAAACGTTTATTCACAGCACTGTATTTTTTCTTCTCTCAAGGGCTTATCGCTAAATAATGTTGTAGATGACACAACTATGTAAAAAAAAGCTGATTTAGTTCACAGAGTAGGTTGGCTATGGAGGATCATTAATCATGGTAATGCTTGCAAGGGGTTGTCATGTGAAGCTATTTTAATTTCTGGTACATAAAAACTGAATTTGGTTGATTTCCAAACTTAATACAGCAATACAGAGGCACATTTTACAAAAGCAATTTGTGAGCACTGCTTACACGCAGATCGCAAATGGTGTCACATTTCACAATTGATTGTTGCGTGCAAACTGCAGATACATTTGTGAGTCCTACAGAGCTCTTGCATGGGCTGCAACAATGCAGTTTGTTTTGATTAAATCTGTTTAAAGAAGCAGGAGAAGAAATGCTCTCACGTTGCAAAGTGCTGCTTGTTTGGCATAGATTTGGTGAAATGGGCCCCTGAATTTGAATAATCCACAAACAGGACTGTATCAAAATGCCAAAACAAGTTGTAGTTTTTAGCAATTCATGACCCAGAGTACATTTGCAATCCTATTTCCAGTCTACAGTGTTTTCTTGCATGCAGAATGCAAGAATGTTGCCAGCAGTGGCATCAGCAGAAGGGTTGAAAGAGAAATAATTTTGAAATGAATTTGTTTACCTATTTTATAAAATAGAAACCTGTAGCAGACAGCAGTCGGCTCATTTGGCACAAGCTATATAGATCTTAATACTTTCTACAAAAAGTGTGCTTGCATTTGTTTAATGTTTTCCATTTTACACTTTACAACCACACAATTAATTAAGAAAATGCTTGTGCACCTTGTTAGTAGATTGAATTTGTCTACTGTAATGAACTCAAAATTATTAGTGCTCATGCAAACACTTATTAGATCTGTGTCTTGGTGTCTTGCCAAGATGCATTTGGATTCTGATTAACACATGATAATATCAGTGATACACAATTAGAGAGCATACGTTTTCCAACTATATTTATGAATAGGATTTGTTTCTGAAAAGTGTGAAACAGTAATTGGGGCTCACATGACTGGGACATGGTGAAAAACATGAAGGTTAGCAGTGTGGATGAGTCCCTGACATATGGAAAGCAATAGTGGAAATCAGTGCAGAGTATACACATAAAGCAGAATTAATTGATAACAGCAACCAAGGGTTAGAAGCACAAATATACTACAGACCAGTGCAGTGATAAGGCATAATGAAATTAAGACTGAGCCAAAGCTTAACTACAGAGCAATACAGGTACAGACTATAATATGTAATTGTGCACTGGTGAAACAGACAAGTTACTTTTATATAGTGCACTATATTTACCCTCCTCCATTTTGTCAAATTTGTATTTTTTTATATAGTTCCCTCAAACATTTCCAAAACAAAAAAAACAAAAACAAACATATGCTGCATTTATGTGGATTGGAAAAATTAGTTACTGACTAAGAACATCCCTTGGAAACAGCAAATCGGAAAGTCTGCGAACATATACAACATTAAAGTGAGAATGCTTAATGAGTTTCCACATTTTAAAATTAACTTTGTTCTGAATCCCAACATGTGGACTACCTCAAGTTTATAGACTTTACAAGTGCACACTCGTAACCTCTGGCGTGCCAGTCAAAATCCATAATTTCTCAAGACTGGTGGAGTGTCAACCACACTGTGGGCCTCTAGAGAATCTGCTGTGCAGACCTCACCAGTTCAGAAGATTACCCATCAAATTATCAAGTTAGATAAATAGCATTAATATATATAGAAAGATATCATTATTTTTAATTTGATATACAAGACACACAAATTGCCAAAGCGAATTCTGTTTGGCACTGATCATAATGGCAGCTATACAGCCATTTTTTGTTAGCGATGGCTCAAATCCATGAAGTATCCCAGTAAGCCAGCAAGTATGATCCAAGGACCCTGAAACTGTAACACTTTCAAACGGAATTTAGCCATTTCTAATGTTTTCATTTACATATAGGCATTTCCTGCAGTGAAAACCGACTATTGTGGCCTGAAGTCACCTCTCATAGCCTATTTTTAACTCAAAGATTTATGTTCAGCCTTGCAACTATGCATGCCTCAACAGGAATCTCAACACTGCTGTTGCATGCTTTTACTTTGACAATGCATGTACAAGTAGTATTGTACTGCACTAGTCTGCATGTCACAAAGCACCCTAATTACTTAAAGTGCCACAAAACAATATTGTCTAAGGCTCTCTTATTTGTTTGTTGTGCAAAACCATTATACATGCAATCTTTAGGTGAGAAAAAACAGCCCAATTGCCTCTCCACTCAACAAGTTAAAGATAATTAGGGCTATCTGTTCGAATACACTGATTAACAACCAGACCTAATAGCCTTACAAACCTTGGCCGTTGTAACTGTACCATAACTGTGATGGCATTTTGGCAATTGTCAAACGCAATTTGAAACATTATTGATCACTGATCAGGCAGGCCCTGATAAAGTACAGGGCACTCTAGGCAAGATACCTAGAGCCGAGAAATATGATTGAAAAATATGAAAAATTATAAACTACATATATAGTTAAACTATTTATAACTATATAAAAGTATTATTTTATGATGGACAACATAACGACCACAATGTGGCAAGAACATTTCTGCAGTCTATGAAGTTGTCATAATCCTTGACATTTTAGCAGAAAACAGCAGTTACACAATTCAAAATAATCCTGAAAGAAAAAGAGATCATTCTTAATTATATTATTAATATAATTAATTAATTATATAAATTATACATGGTATTAATTTTATTTGCAGAATTTAAGCTTCCAATCAAGTCCTGCTTGATTTGGCAACACCTGTAGTTACTGGTTGTAACAGAAAGTAACATTCTGGGGGCTGGCAAAACAAACCACTGTCATTTTAATAAAGCAGTCAGGCAATATTTGGTGTTTTTCCATCATTCTGTGAGCAATCATGATCTGATTTTATGCTGCACATGGCGTGAGTCTGCAGTCAGCAGGGCACAGTGAAAGGAGTTGGTTACCTCGCTGAGAAGTTGGAAGTGTGCAGTCTGTCGCCTGCAGCTCTTCATCTAACAGCTCACTGTGGCTGCTCTTACTTGTTCCAATATAACTGATCTACTGTAAAAGAAATACAGAAATTTACCACTGTTTTGCAGACGCATTTTTAATGAACGTCAAGCTCACTGAAAAACACATTGTATTTCCTGTGACTACTTGATAATTAAAGTCACGTCACTTTTGCACAGAATTCCTAATGATGGATGTATACACGAGAGCTAGAGGCATGTCCCAGGAGATCTTCTGGATAGATGGGATGTTGAGGTAGAAGCTAAAGTCTTTACAGTGTAAAGTCAACCTTGGAACCAAGGAGCAGCATACAGTCGCCATGAGGATGAAGTTTCTTTATTGTGAAGCTGCAGCAGTAGGAAATGTTTGGTTGTATTGGTAACTTAGCATTTTTTTCCGGAAATGTCGCCATGAACACCCAGTTCCTAATCCAGCAAATATATAAATATTGCAGTACTTTATCATGGCTCAATCACTGTTACCTCATTCAATCAGTTAGTGATTTATAACAGACATTTATTTAAATGAAAATCTACTTGAAAAATATATTTTTCAATTTGGCAGCTTTTGATCCATTGATTCAGGGGGGCTTTTCAGATATTTATTAAACATACATGCATGGCAACTGCTGTTAGTTAATCGCAGTGCCAACTGACCTGCTGACTGTATGCATGAATACAAAGATAAAAAACACCTGCTTTCAATGCTGCATTATGTCAGAGAAAATTCTGTAATACTGCTGCCTTTAAATGGCCTGACCATTTTATCTTCATGATTACTCTGCCGGTGAAATAAAATTCTGTTGAGAGGGTCAACCTCTCTTTCTGTCTCTGCCATCTGTTATAGCTCTCCTGTGCACGTGTCAGTACACTTTATTCAGACATGTGCACGCTCCTCTCTCTCTCTGTCCTCTCTTTGGGAGATGCGGTACGAGATTTTACCACTCACGTTGTCACCAATAGAGGTTATGATTGCCTTTACGTGATCTATTCATTGAGGAGGGGGCCCCCTGCACTGGGTCAGAACCATTGATTGGTGCAGCATATAGCACAGGCCAGTGCTGTCTGCAGGCCTCTCACCTAGGCCACAGTCCTTTGAGATGTACTTTTCAGGATCTGAGAAAAGCTGTTCATGCTTGAAAACCCATAAGTGAATGAAGCAGTGCATCAAATACCTCCATGGTGTGCTGAGAGAGTTTCTACAAGAAACATCTGGTTGTACTTATTGCTATTTAGTGAGCCTAAGGGGCAATAATGTTTTTACACAATTGCATTGGGTGTTGAATTATTGGGCTGATTTCAGTGATCAAGTGGCTTTATTTAAAATAAATATCTGTCTTTCATTCAAGTCTCTTAGCTTAAGATAAACTTTAGTGAAATATATCAAAACAAACAAAATCGATATTTCCTAAAGTTGTGTTCTGAGAGACATTATGGGATTTTGTGAACCTTGTTTACTTGCAGAAGCTTTGATACTAAGCAGCATCAAAGGCTAAGCACTCACTAAAGCACAAGACAGGTGGGTTAGTTTTGCCAGACAAGTCACAGTCTGCACGTTGGCAGACTGACTCCATTTAACTGCCCTCCTTTGATTAATAATGCTGCTGGTGATCTAGTGTCAATGATAAAACAAACCAAATCTAGTCACCACTCTGGTACAGAAATCATTGTAAATAATAATTAGTTCTCAATTGACTTATCTGGTTAAATAATGGTGAAATAAATAAAATACAAAATGTACACAAGATGATGTGAGATGTCCTTTAACAAGACAATGTCCAGTGTTCTTGTATCAATTCTAATTCTAAACATCTCCAAAACTCTTGTCTTCTTTTAGAACACTGTAGGGATAAAACAATGAAATAAAATGATATGTAAATGTTCAGACAACCCTTGAGAGTAACAGTACTTATTTTTCTCTTAGGTAACTGTGTGCAACAAAGCTCTGAGTGTATCATCACTCAGACCCCACTATAGTTCAGACAAGTGGCAATGGCATGCAATTCACTCATCCTTTTAGCTGGAGTTAAGGCAAGCAGCACTGCTGTTTTGATTGAAAACAGCTGAAGAGGGAAGTGCAGAGTGTATACAAACAGCTCCTTTAAAAGGACATCAAGAACCAACAGCAATCTCCACTAAGAAGAGAAGAAGAAGAGTGAGTTTAGTTGTGGACACAGCCATCTTGCTCCCTGTTGAAAAAGTTTCAGAGGTGAGTGGTTCAAAACCAACCTCTTGCTAAAACCCATGACCGGAGGAAATAACTCACCGATAGCAGATGGTTGCAGACATTTCTCAAGTAGCAGATGTAAAACACTAAGCCGACTGAGTAGTTCACTGGAACGCTCTTGTCACATCACTTGTGCAAGCCCAAGGATTTTCCATTTTCAGCATAAATAGTTGAGTCTGCGCTCCTACCATGGATTATGTTCTCCACAGTGCAGAACAATCCTAAAAGCACCAGCTTGTCTCTCTCAGGCTCCAAGTCCTTAGAGGCAGCCTCAGGCTGGGCATCACATCTGTCTCTTCACTTACCTGTGACAACACACTGGGTAGTGTTGGGTAATTTGCCAGGGCAACACCTACAGCAGCTGAATCATCTCAGCATCACATGGAGCATAATGTGAAGTCTGGATGTTGACTGAGCACTAGCAAATTCTACAGCCTGAAAGAGCCTGTTTGTGCATGCTATAGGCAAACCCATCCAATCCAAACTGTGGATTGATGTGGGATGACAGGTCAGGCAACAGATGACAGCAGGTGTCCTGCCTTGAAGTAAAAAGATCCATGTATGCCAATAATGCCGCAATTTTGACCAGGGAGGTAGATAAGGTAGCTTTGACTAGGGCAGGATCCTCACTGATGGTGTGTGTTTGCAGAGCTACAGCCTTGTCCAGCATGCTGCACATCCCACTGTGTACTCGCTGTGTGTTGCCAGGAGCTGCCTTTTCTTCTCAGAGTCTCTCCTGATGGCTAGAATTGGATGAAGGTATGCCATCATACTTCACACCTGTTGATCACTCAAATTAGCCTCCCTGACAGTGCTCTTTGGAAGGACAGCTGGAATATCCTGTGTAGAAAGCAGATGAATACCTGGCCCTGAAGAAATTGAAATAACCGGAAGGATGGTGCGTCGCCATAGCTAGGGTTTTTAGTCTCATGTGATTTAGAGACTTCAAACAATTTTTTTTGTCATGTAATATTATAATGCAAGACTGTTGTGCCTTCATTATGCTTAAAGCAATACTCAGAAGAGTTCAAGCACAGGGTAATGTAAATAAGTTTAGATTTTTTACTCTATTTGGGTACTCAAAGTTGTTCTTTCGTTGTCTCAGAAAAATGTATTCAAACTAATCAGTAGACAAGATAATGCTGGAATATTAAATTAATTGTGTCAATGATATTTATCTAAATTGACTCAGTATTTATTTGTGAGGGAAAAAAACAAAGTGCAAAACAAGAAACCAAAGTAACATGCATAAATAAATATACAACAATTAGAGTTTCAGACTCACAACTAGCCTGATCCCAGTGTTATAGCAGTGTAAATCTGCATGCATGGATAAATGAAAACACATTGAAATACATATGCATCCTGATGTAGGCATACATATGTATGACTATGCAAATGTAAACGCATAAGCACATACTCAATAGGTAGGGGAAGTGATACAAAGATTGCTCATGTAATTTCCTTCATGTTGTAAGATCTAAGTGAGTCACAAAGTGAAGATATGCATCAATAAGAAATGTCATAGGGAAGTGTCATTTGATACACATTCAAAACAGTTTGTACTGCCCAAAAGCCTTGATTGCAGGTATGTCAGAGTCACTTATTATTACATGAGGCTACAAAGTTGCCAACAGGCTACACAAAGCGTGTTGAAAAGAGCCAAATACTTATTATTTTATGAGAGATTTAATTTCCATTTGTTTCTCTCTTGCTATCTTTAGGAAGTACCACAAAATAAATATTGAAATTATATAATCTGCCACATTATTTTGGCCCCTTTTATAGCACTCCCATACAAGTTTACTTTTTGATTATAGCATATGCATTGGGTAGTTTAGTATGACGTAGTTATACACTGTATGTTTTGTTAACTTACATATGGGGTGATAGTTTAAGGCGGTTGTGGCTCAGGAGGTAGAGTGGATCATCAACTGATCAGAAAGTTGGCCGTTCAATCCCCAATTCAATACCACTGTAGTCAAAGTGTTCTAGGGCAAGATACTGAACCCCAAATTGCTCCTGATGCTGTGTGAGTGGGATTAGTATTTTTCTAATAAGCAGATGGCACCTTGCATGGCAGCCTCTGCTATCAGTGTATGAATGTGTGTGAATTGGTGAGTGTGAGATGTAGTGTAAGTCAATTTACTATTTACATAAAGTGATGGTTGTTATGCTTTTTTCAAACTTACTATTGCCTTTGATTGTTATATGCACCCAATGGCAATAATAGGAGAAAATCGTCTGCACACCATTTCATTTCACGTTGCGGTTTCATAACCAGCATACACTCGTCAAGTACATGCCTTGCGGGTCTCCTTCAGTGTTTGTGGTTGAGAACTTGGTTAGGTAGAAAAAGCTGATACCTAAAGGTGTCCTGTATGCAAGTAGAAGTCAAGGTACAGAAGCTGGGTTACCAATCTGTGAAGTAAAAATAAATACATAAAATCATTTGTATTATTATTGCTTTTCTGGTGCACTGACATGCGTCAACACCAGGAAAGTGTTTTGCCAAACGTTAAGTGCTGCCAGTGTTTTTCTGCCCTTTATGGGAAAATTGTTCATGAACTTGAATATGATGTCTCAGTAAATATGATTCTTTTGTATTCTATGCTGTAACAATGTTGCCCATGTGTTGAATTTAATCCCAAATTACCTTGCTCTCTTTTGAGAAATTCTATTTGTCCATACAGAGCAGCAACTATGAGCTGAAGAACATCCATTGGCTTGCTGAAGGACACTGGCAGAATAAGGCAATTCAAGAAAGCAAATTACCGTTAACCTCGGTTGACTTTACACATTATTGCAGTGGGCAGGTTTAGGACAAGGGGATACTTATAACACACAGCATAGACAGCTATACCCACTTCACAGAACCAATATAGGCCCTTGAGTAATAGATGTTTTGTTGTCATAAATGACTATTTAGCTTGCAAATGCAATTCAGGTGAGTATTGCTAGTTGGGTTTGGTGTTAAATGGCTGTTCATTATTGATATACAATGAAACTACAAACTGTCTCTGTTTCTTTACAGGCTTTTTGGAAGGAGAAGGGCTTCTCTGGGGAAATAGTCGCAGGATCATCTAGTGACTGTCCATTCTGCGTAACCTTTGATGCCACTAGCCCCAGTGGTAATGCTGCCCTGGTCGGCTTCATTGCTGGCCAGCAGGCTTATCGATGGAGCTCCAAGGAGGTAATGAGTCATCAATGATAGATACAACAATTAATATTTATCTATAATTTAAACATGTCAGCTTTGCTTGTAACACAGCTTTACCTTGTGCCATCAGTTTTCAATGTGATTTGATGTGAACATTTAAATTCACAATGCCTAGAAATGGTAAATGTGTAAATGATGCATATTTGTTGCATTGTCAGGGTGAGGTGTTGTAATTATATTTCAGTTGAAGGTGAATGTAATCTGTGGTTTTCAAGGTATGAAACATTCTATTATATTCTAGTCTAATAACCTATTACATAAGTTGTATAATAAATTTAAATTGTATTTAAATCCCGCCTCCGAAAACTGCCTTAGTGACCTATCTATCATAAACTAAACTACAGTTTTATGCATCACATAAGGCTTTAAGATTAAGCCTGGTTAATATTTTGCGTGGAGACAAATGCAACACAGTGAGCACTGTCAAAAGGATCTTATTCTTTTAAATGAAATGCTAAGGGGCAGCATTATGAAAATTCCATGTGAGATTGTGCACCACCTGAGCTCTGAAACAGTGGGGTGCTCCTGCCTGCCTTTAATAACTGTTACCTTGGTAAATATAGGACATAATGGGCTAAAGGGTTCTTTAACTCAGTGCCATTGTTTTTCGATTTAATGGTCCTATTTGAACTGGCCACGAAAGTACTTTTTGTTTTCTGAAGTGTTCATTACTTGCCTTAAAAACAAAGAATCAAGGTTATTCATTTGTCATTTTACAACACATAGTTGCACAATAAAATGTAAGTTTTAGCACCCTCATGCTACACACAATAAATATACCAATTTTAATTTAGAATAGAATAGAATAAAGATAAAATAAAAAAAATATATACAATTATTTATTTACATTTTCCACTATACACAAATACACCCAGAAAGTAATAACTGTAGCTCAGTTTTTTAAATTTGTGTCAAGCTTTATAATTTAGCAATTTGAGTATTAGGGCCAGACTAAGAGAAAAAATAATTATTTTTTAAAAGTTTTCGTTTGGGGAATTGTACGAGAATACTCGAAGGTCATTAAGTATTGCGAGAATCAAAGTCATAATATTGGCGAGAATGAAAGTCCAATAAATTAACAGCACCAAGTAAGTAAAAATCACAAAACGTCGATAATATGCCATACAAAAGCAACCACACATACATTAATATACATATACAGACTGACTGTACGGTAACCAGCGGGGTGCTGGGCTAGGACCTTCGAGGCTGGCTGTTTGTTGAGCTGGTCACGTCAGATAAGGCAAAACAAGGATTGTTATCCCATAAGCAATAACTGTCTTAGTTATTATATTAGAGAATCAACACAATATCAAGTGTTGATGAATTCTTTTCTGCAACAGATTTGATATTTGATTCATTGAGCCTTATTATCCCTGTATTCCTATGTTTACAATTGATTTAAGGTTACATTTCATATATTCTGCCAGTAACTAAATATTGCTATTGACAGATGCAATCCTCTGGCTCTCCCATACACATGTCTTGCACACTCAGCCTACATCCTCTGCTCTTCCTTTTTCTTGCGTTGCTTCTGTGTTGACATTTTCGTTTAGTCCCAGTCCTTTCCCTTTACCTGAAAAAAATAAATAAATCCAGCCTCGTCTCTAGTGTTGTTTTGGCATTTCGGTCATTAGCCTGACTTGCTACAAAGCTCGAGAGGAGCTGTCCCCCTGCTGTGTCATGCTGCACAGGGTGCTAAATAATTAACCCCCACTTGCTATCTCACTGCTAAACTGAGGAAAATAATGTTGCTGTATGTGAGGCAAGTGGACATCAAGGTTACAATTACACACTGTTTATGCCATTTTAGTATGATTGCTATGATAGTTGTAAATATCATCTTAAGAATTCTTGCATTATCCTCATATTTGGCCCTGATGCAGTGTACTCGGTTAGATACACTTGGTTGGATTTTTAGTTAATTGATTGTTTTGGTTTGCAGAAGAGGAGTCCTATGATGCACGCAGTGTAATTTCATAGGATTTTCAGCTGACACTATTAGCAGTCCGGCAGCAAATTAACAGTGAGAGTTTTTTTTTTATTAATTCCTCATTGAAAGCAATTTGGCACCATGCTTCAATTCACTCTTTGTTCTTCTGTAAGGAGTTTATTATGAGACTATGAGTATCAGCTCCATATCATTGCACAAGGGTGTGCTGAGAGGTAAAGTGACATGTAGATGAGGAATCTTAGACAATTTTGCAACATCTGTCAGCATGCTATATGATGATCTGCCCTTTTGGTCCTCAGGCCTCAGCTGTACTGTACATAACTCACCATGTGTGAACTAACCGTGAGCATGTGCTGACTGTGCTTGAGTTATTCAAATTGACTGCTGCTTCCTATGTCCAGCTTGGATTGGTTTTTAGAATATGCATTCATATTTTAGCAGCCTGCTGTTATAGTTCTGAGTGATGAGCAAGTGTAATGTAAGTACCGTGTTGGCACAGGCATTCCCTTCTATTTGCAGGATGGGGAGAGAAGAAATGCTGTGCTTTCCAGTCTGGTCAAATACCTAGGTCCTGAGGCTGCATCTTTCATCCACTACGAAGAGAAAGTAAGTAGTTCAGTGGCAGATGTCTGATGTAATAAAACAATAATGTTTTGGTTTGAGGCAGAATTTTGTAGTGCCAAAATTCATAGTCAGTTTTTTTACCCTGCATTCCAGAGAGGAAAGCTACTTTGTGTAGCAAAAGTCTGCATCTCTGTCAGCAAAACTGAGCCAAATACATTTATTTAAAGATTTATAGTGTAGTGTAAAAAGAACAAAATACAAAAAAAAACACTTACTAGTTAAGATAATAGTTTTCTTACTAGTCTTACTAGACTAACATTACACAACACAAACCAGTAATACAAATATTAAGCCCAAGATGCATCTAGCAAAGACCCGTGAAAAACGTTATTACCTCTAGTTTTAGATTCCAGCAATGAAATTGTCAATCCATGTCCATCAAATATGCTAATGTGGATCACATATGTTTATAATATGATCCATACCCCAACAAATTCACCATGGAAATAAAGACAACTGTCACAGATCTGATTATTACCACCACAGAGTACTCCTATTAACAATGACATGTCTAAATGGGAAGGTGGGAAGCCTGCATGGGATCACAAAGTGTTCTGGCGAGTTTTGAAATGGCTCATAGAAAGAGAAAGGTGACTTTGTGTCCTTTTCTCACTGTGTCCCTAATGGGCAGCTGCAACAGTGGGGCTAAGTGGCTTCTGGTAGTAACAAAAATAGAGGCTAATTTATTAAACTGTTTTCATGTGAAAGCATACAAACACATGGAATACATTATAATAAATTCCCAGAGGTGGACCAAAGGAGGTCAGGGCCAAGTACTTCTAAAGGGACTGCAACCCTTTATGGACACACATGAGCTTCTATAGCACAACAACTGAAAGAATATAAAACAAGATGTAGATACTGTATCCTCCCTGACCAAACCATGTGCCACTCATATATAGAATAGCTACCTTAATACATTACATGATGTACAGCATAGCATTGGTAGACTGTGAAAGAGTGCATTAGTCATAACAGACATGATTTTAGTCCCTCGACTGCCTTTTCCTCACTTCACTTCACTTCACAAGATGGAAAGGAAAAGTTGCCCTGAGGAAACTTAAGGCAAGGGCGTAAAGGGAGATATTAGGTAGCACTTTGTAGAGACTCAGTGGGAACATACAATTATAGAATACAATAACAACAACTCAAAACTTCGCGAATAGAAAAAAGCTGGTGAATTGATTGAACAGTGTCGAGAGAGATTTGGCCTGATTATGTTAACCCAATTGGTGTTTCTTGTTATTTCTTTATACTTAATTACTTTATTTATTTAAATGGGAAACATTCTGATTTGCCAACCTGCAAGTTTCAAACATAATTTTTATTTCTGTTGTGTATACTGTACTTCTTTCCACATGGTGGTGGTCCAACAAGGTTAAGGGTTTAATTCCACTAATCTGCATCTCCCTTTTAGTAGAAAGGTTGGAAATGTCGGCCAGGCAACATTCATTATTTAATATTTAGCAAGCACATTTTACAATCAAGTCATGTAATACAAATTCTACACTACAAAAATTACATTATATAAGTTTACTATTACTATGAAATTATATAACTTCACGCTAACCATGAGTATTATCATATATTCATACAACGCGTTTTTTTCCGCAATTAAAGTTGGTGAACATGTACTTTGGTCCATGGAGAAACTGCTAATAGCTAATTCAGCTAATGTTTTCATGAGTTGTGCTATCAAATAAAATTAGGCTAGCTTAGATTTGGGGTGTGCCATTAATTGCCATTTCATAGTAACAAAGCCCTGCTGTTGTATTGTGCCATGGAGTAGCACAGTATTAATGTCATTCAACTGTTCTGCTTTACAGGACTGGGCTAAGGAGAACTACAGCGGGGGCTGCCCTGTTAATGTCATGGCACCAGGTCTGCTGACATATTACCACCCTAGCCTGAGGAAGCCCTGTGGCAGGTAATCACCCCACTGATGACAAATACACCACAGCATCACACCTTTCCTTCCCCCAATACTCAAAATAGTCACCTTTCCTCTCTGTTATCACCAGAACAAATGGTTATGTAGAGATGTAGTGCAGTAAACCGGCAAGACAGTTTTGAAATCTTTGATACAAATCTGAGAGCTAAATTTAGAGTTTATAGTCCGGTAAGTAGTATAATTGTGTACTAGATGACAGTGTAAGAGATACTGACAGTGGCTGCTGGATGCTCGTGCTATTTTTTACCACGGAAACAATACATGCACCTCACCCTGACAACCAGGTATTACTCACTAGCACCCAGTGTCTACAGATCATTGACATGAGTCGTGGGAGTGATTATGCCTTCACTGATACATATTAGTCCAGTTCTAAAGAAATGGCAAGATGTCGTCAGGAGTGGCGTTCTCATAGGAAAACGTCCTATAATCCATTTCTAATGGCCTGTTCGGAGATGCACAAAGCTGAACGAATGAGAGCGAGAGGTGGGGAGGGGGATCCAGGTAATGTATTTCTATAATGACATTAAGTCCGTGGGGAGCAGAGGAAGCTCATTACATAACGTAACTCAAACAGCAGCATGGGACGGTGGCCCTTATCCACATTCCTACCCCATATAGGAAATGGATCCTCAAGGACGTGCTATGACCTTGACACAAATCCAGAACGTGTATTAAAGACAAACCCATGTTTGGGTGGCTAAAATATGCTGCTGCTTCAAACATTTTGTATCTAATAGCACAACTGATTCCAGTAGTGTCTGGTGGATTATGAGATTTCATTTGGGATGGCATGATTCTCAATACGGACCACAGTGTGGTTTTTAAAATTAGAGTAATTATCCTAGGTGGATACTATGCCTGACTGGTCAGTATGTGAGGTTTTTACAGAGAGGCCTCCCTCTCTAGAGAGAACAGAGCTGAGAATGAGTAAGAAGAACTATAAAGAACTGCCAAGAACTATAAATAAATTGACCTCAGTGGGTTCATGCTTTACTAACTTAACAGCTCCAAAATGCACACAGAACAAACACTGAGCTGAAAAGAGTTGTTTAGGAGGATGTTGAACTTTTTCAGAACAAAGATATGGTTGTTTTTGCTGCTCATCACATTGTTTGGACAACAAAGAAGAAGGATTAGTTCATTCAGCCTACACAGAGTGTAAAAGAATACATTTAAAATCTTTTAAAGCTGTGCCTTTGCTTTAAATGCAGTGGGCTTTATGTTTCATATAATAATATTAGTTTATGCTTTACTATTTTAGAAGTTGGTGCCAAGAATGATTGCCAATCAATAGGTACCATAACTAGAAATATGATATAATTAAAAGTCTACAAGAGCTCCACTGGCTTAGCAGTTCATCTCTGTGTGTCCATACAGTGAAGTTTGCATTCATTCAGCCATTTCAGGATTAGACAGTCCTTCTCCATTCTTTCTTCTGGAAGGCAACAGCAACACTGCTCCTCATCCTGAGACACCAGACTAACTCCTTAGGGAGCTTCACTTCCTCTACAATATGTAGATATCATTCTTTGTTACACAGGCTCCTGTTTCTTACAGGGCAATGTCTGATGTTTACCCCTGTGTGTGCATCAAAAGCTTTAAATAAAGAGAAATGATCATCAAAAACAACTATCCATCCCTCTCAGCTTAAGGTCACAGCACAATACTCCTTACACTAAAAACATGGCCTTCAC